TTTTTTTTTTTTAAGTGCTGTCCTTTCTAGGAATCATAACTGGGTTTCACAAGGGACGTATCGATCACAGGCGTAGACAGCCACACATTTCTTTGTAAGATTGACATGATGTAAGTAAGTAAGTAAAGTTAATTTATATAGCACCTTTCACAGACATGGTCACAAAGTGCTTTACAAGAAAGGTAAGAAAACACAATACACTCATAAATACATCATAAAAACCATGGTCTATATAAAGATTTTTGAAGGTCTCCACAGAGTCCAGACATCATAAAAATAGAGGAAGTGCATTCCACAGTCTGGATGCAACAGCTTGGAAAGATCGGTCCCCTCAAGTTCTAAAATGAGTGTGGGGGACCACTAAAAGGTTTCGATTAGATGACCTCAGGTTACGAGAAGAGGTATGTGTACGAATCAAATCAGCAATATAGGGAGGGGTCTGTCCCTGTAATGCTCTAAAAGTTCAAACTAGAATTTTAAAATGGAACCTAAATCTGACTGGTTTGACCAGCGACTTTAAAACAGGGGTCATATGAGCTCCCTTGTTCAAGCAGGTCAGTAGCCTCCCTGCAGAGTTTTGAACAACCCGTAGACAAGCTAGCCCTTTCTCGTTTAGACAAGTAAACAGGCTCTTACAGTAGTCAAGTCTTGTAGAGACAAAAGTACGGAATTATCATCTCGAGTTCACTTGTTGACACGATGGATCTAAGTTTGGAAATGTTCCTCAAGTGGAAAAAGCAGGTTCTTACTGATTTAAATGTCCCTCCAAAGAAAAAGCTTAATCAAAAATAACACCTAGATTTCTAAGGTTATGCTTCTATAAGGAACCTAAATCACCTAGTCGCTGTTTAATATCAGTTATTGCACTGTCTGGTGCAATAATCAAAGTTTCTGTTTTCTCTGGGTTTAGCTGTAAGGAATTATTGTTCAACCATTATTTAATGTTGGTTAAACAGTCAGAGCGGAGAGCTTATGAACTTCAGAAGACTTAAATGAGTAGTATAACTGAATATCATCAGCAAAAAGATAAGATACATCAGGAAACTGCCGTATTATCTGGCTTAAAGGAAGAATGTATATTAAAAACAGAATAAGTCCCAGCATGGAGCCCTGAGGAACTCCACACAGCAGCTCTGTAGATTCCGACATAACATGTAGGATGAAAACCAGTCTAGAACAGAGCCAGACATCCCAACCAGGTCTATCAGTCAGTTTATCAGGATGGTATGATCAACTGTGTCAAGGGCTGAGGTAAAGTCTAACAAGACT